TACTCAAATAGTAGCCCCAAAAAATCCAACATACCTATAGAACTCTCCTACCTAAAACATGAACATCTCGATGTCTCCTCGGTTACACCCAATCTTTTCAAATCTGCATCACATACCTCACTTGCGACATGGCCTTCACTTTGGGCATCGAACCCAAAAGAACAATCGAATCTTGAACATTTCCTCGCTACAAAACAGAAACTATTTATTGGGAACCAAACCTTACCTTCTTATAGTAGAAACCGATGAGCAGAACACCATATCTTTTGACTGACACTCATCCGATTTTTCTCCCTCAAGCATGGTAGATTGGAAAACACAAGCTCGTTGTAGAAGATGATACCCCTAGATATTGGTTGATCACTCATCCTTAGTCAGAAATCCTCGAGCTGATTATCACAATTGTTTCCATCCTGGGTCCCACGACTCAAACTGGCACTACCTTAAGCAAGGCCCTTGAGACCTGAAAACCCACACAGGTCTACAACATTCAGACCCAAAACTGCCATAGCCACTAAGGCCCGAAAAAATTCCAGCCTCATCCTTATCCTAAACATCCATAGCCGAAAGCTCGATAGCGACGGAGACGGCTACAATTAATGCTAGTGTTATACCACACTATCTACCCTCCACTAGCTCCTTAGAAACCTTTTCGACCCTTTTTGATCTCCATACAGATCCTGTGCTTTCAATAGTACGAGCCATACTACCTTCCACACCCATCCATACATGTCGCAAGAATTTTCTCAAAGTTCCTAAGTCACTACACATGACCCCTATCAATCACAGATACTCGTGCCCCCACATGATCACACTACCAGTCTTCTTATATTCTCCTTCTTGGATTCTTCTCGCACATATGCACATACTAGAATACTTTAATACTTTTCAAGGAACTCCACCACTGCTAGGTGTACCAACACATCCATATGGTTAGAAGCTACCATAAACTGCCTAGATTTCCACCTTAGATTTCCTCATACGCAAGTGCCTACACTAGCACACTCTAGCACTCTTCCAAGGTCACTAGAAATACTCACCCCACCCTACTATCAGTTGCGAAAGAAACTTCTACCAATGTCAACTAACCATCTTACGAATACAGTTACACGCAATAAGGATTAAACACTCATTCGACTGAAAGATCTTGCACTACAATGGTTGGACTCAAACAAGAGTAGCGCAATAAAGCCAAATAAAACATTCTAAAACTATTTAATCTTCGTGGCATGCAACTTAACGTATTCACTTATTAGTTAACTAACATCAATATAGGTTTCACATAGCACAAAACAAGCATCATTCGAGCAAAAAAAAAAAAAAAAAAAAAAAAAAAAAACAGGCAATAAGGCATCATAAGTATCAAGAAATTCCAACATGCAATTCTTGAGGATGCTTAGCCTACAACCTATCATGCATCTCTAACAGCTCATGTATCACACATAAATACATCTCTCTTAAGCAGGCACTCTAGCATGCAATCATGAGTAGATCCTTAGCCTAACTTATAGCATGCAAGTCATAATATAACACATATAAAAGCAACTCAAATACATCATATGAATAAAGTATGGATATTTTGGGAGATCATTTTTCAACGCTCCAGCTGACTATACACATCACATCTTCTCTTTTCTTCTCTTGAAATGAAACGTTTCCAAAAAGGTTTACAAAAACTCTCGTACCCATAGTTTGAGTTTGGAATCCCACGAGTGTTCATCCAAATCCCTCAAACCAGGGCTCTGATACCAACTTGTAACGTCTAAAATTCTAGAATAAAATTTTCACTTTTATTATGAAATAAACGCCCATTTTTAATAAAATTACCTTCAAGTCAAACCACTTTTATATAAACCATTATTCAAAAATCAGAGTTATAAGGAAGAAAATGCGGAATCTCGAATCATAAAATTGTTGATGTGTGTGTACAGTCCCGCCTTCGCAATCCGATACGTACCTAAAAAAACATTTAATCCAAAATTGTAAGCACAAAGCTGAGTGAGCTCCCCAAAATATCACATACAACACAACATAAATAAACGACTATGGTTTATCAGTAAAGCTGAGTGAGTTCCCCAAAATATCACATACAACACAACATAAATAAACGACTAGGGAATCATTATGTACAACTTAATGCTTTAATCTCTCAATCCTTCAAGCCATACACTTAAACTTTACAGAAGTCTTTCTTCATCCCAAAGCACCATAAAAATCATTTCTTTTTGAGCATGCATGCCCAATGCATTTCTTGAACACAAGCTAGGTCAAAATGAAGGAAACATGAGATCAAATCTCATGTATGGAAACCACAACTCACTAAATTTCTAGATCTGGGACAAGGGATTACAAAGGAGTGTGAAGAACTCAGAAAGTTGCTAACTTTATGAGTTTCCAACATTCAAACCTCCTCAGACATTGGGGAAAATGAACAAAATCTAGATCTAGCATGCTTGAACTAAAAAGGCAAGAACTTGAGGACTTACACGAGTCCTAAGACAGCTCAAGATGATAATGGAGAGGCTTGCTAGCTGAGATAGTGCACCAAAACACCTTTTTTTCTTCTTTAAGGCTAAAAATCACAAAAAAGGAGCTCACAGATCAAAGTAGTAGGGATAGGGTTCCTTGGAGAGCAATAGGGAGGTGATGGAGGTTGAGAGTGTGCAAAACCCTAGCTCTCACTTCCCATAAATAGGGCACAAATCCCAAAATTAGGGTTAAACACCCAAGCGGCCGTCACGTTGAGACACACAAAATGGATGTGTGTTTCACTCATCGATGGCCACATGGTAACCATCTCAAGATCCATATTTTTACATCTTTAATTGCCCATGACATAAATAAACAATCTACCGAGAATAGATGTTACAACTTTTACCTTATTTAAATGATTAACTTATCAAAAAGAATACCCGCAAACTGGATGTTACAAATTAATTCCGTAGGTGATTTACTAACGGATTTGCCATGGATTATGTTTTTTTTGTTAAATAAATTAATTTTGTGGGTGTGTGATTTACCCACGAATTTTCTATGGATTATAATTCTTATATAAATTCTTTTTTGTATGTGAAAAAACATAAAATCAATATATAAGATAACATTTTTTATCAAAATAAATAAATAAATAAGTAAATAAATAAATAAATAAAATCCTGATACTGCCTTAAACCGGCTCGTTGCGCTTGGTATCCCTATGTAATTTTTTTTTCCTTTTATCGTAGACGCAACAGCTTATCTAATAAGAAATCCTTGGAATGCCTCACATTGTTGGAGATTTAACAAGAAATCATTTATATATGAAGAAATCCACAAGGAGGTCGGAGATTTAACCTAGATTTAACAAAACTTGAAAAGCCTCTTAGTGTTGAGTTCTTAATTTCTAGAAACGATTTCTCAAATACACATAAACGATCTTGAGTTCTTGATTTATGTAAACGAGCTCTCGAACATACATAAACATTATTGAGTTCTTGATTCATGAATACAACTTCTAGAACACGCATAAACATTATTGATTTCTTGATTTCTGGAAACATTACGTTGAAGATGTTGGCTGAAAAAGATGATTGAAGATGTCGTCGGAGGTGGAAAAGTCGCTGAAGGTGCCAAGGTTGCCAAAGATGTCGTTGGAGGTGCAACTCAGACGTAAAAAATGATTTTATCTACAATAGTTGGTATCAATCATGCGTTTTCAACAAACAAAAAAAATTCTAAGGGCTAATAAATACGCCAAATATGTACACACGGATTTTAAAACAATGGGGAGATGGAATACTCAAAATCAAACCTAATAAAACATATAAATGCCATTTTTCATGCAAAACTATTATTTGTAATGTGAAGTGTACACAATGATGCAAAAGTAACTCTTCAAAAGTTTTTCTAAAACTTTTTTAGAAAGAGGAAATAAGTCTTAACTAAGATGAAAATGAAAATCATTAATTTTGAAGTCTTCTTAGCAATTAGACTTTGTTTGCAAAAGTAAGTTAGTTTATTGTAATTTATTGTTTGATAAAACCATAAAAAAAATAAGTTATTTTAGTTTATGAACTAGCTTATAAGACTATAAACTACCTTTTGAGAAGCTATTTTTAAAAAACTTGATTTTTTTTCAAAAATATTGTAAATTTGTAATTGTTTGTATTATCTTCTCTTTTAGTTATATCTAGATGTTCATTTATGTCATTTTATATTGCAATTTAGATTATAGGATATTTTTACCAAACACTACTAATTCATAAAATAATTTATCAGCTAACAACTAATTTTTCAATTAAATTCTAACTTTTTCATCTTTTCATCTTTCAATTACCTCCACCCAACATATTGATATGTACCAAAGCATTAGACAAGTGGGGAGGGGCTAACCACCCCTCCCCCACACCTCTATTAATCCCATACAAAGGATATTTTGTTACCTTATAAAGTCATTAACATTCTTTTTACTATTCTTTTAAAATGTTTACCACATCACCATCACTACACTCAGCAAGGCCATATGTCTTTTCCACTCAACTTAAAAAACATGTCATAAATAATACAATCTTGACCATTATATCGATAAGTAGCTTACATAAGTAGATAGCTGACATGATATAGTCTATTAATTTTTTGTCATTCAACTTTTGGAATTTGTTATTATGTATTTGGGAATTCCATTATTTATTTAATTTATACCAAGGCTTTTTATGAAAACGAATATTATGAAGCACCAATATTTTTACTATGATCCTAATATGCAATCATCATTTATATAAAAAGAGAACGATACGTTACAACTACTATGAAATGTAGCAACTCTTTTGCTTTAATTAAAAAGCCTCACATGCAATTTACCTTACAACACATGACCATACATGAATATAAAGATACCTAGCGTAAACTCCACCAACTGTACTATCTACCAATGTGGACGATGAACTCAACTTTGTTTCTTGCTATTTAATCCATGCACCCAAATGACATAATGTGTTTCATAAATCGAATCGATCTTTTTCATGGAGTTCTCTGTGATGCAAAACCTGGAATCTCAACCTTTATGGCTCCTTCTACTCACTGTCGCTTTTCTTTCTCTTACAAAAACTTCCCTCAAACTTTTGAATTGGGTGTTCGTTCATTTCCTCAGACCCGCAAAAGACCTCAAAAAATACGGGTCATGGGCATTGGTTACAGGTCCTACAGATGGTATTGGTAAAGCCTTTGCTTTCCAACTAGCTAGCACAGGACTAAATTTGGTTCTTGTGGGTCGAAACATTGATAAACTAAATGATGTTTCATGTTCAATTCGAGATAAATTCAAACAAACCCAAATCAAGATTGCCGTTGTTGATTTTTGTGGTGATTTAGCTCATGGAATTGAGAAGATTAAGAAAACAATTGATGGTTTAGATGTTGGAGTTTTGATCAATAATGTTGGGGTTTCTTATCCATATGCTAGATTTTTTCATGAAGTCGATGATAAATTGCTGTGTGATGTGATTAAGGTTAATGTTGAAGGGACCACAAAGGTTACGCGTGTTGTGTTGTCGGGAATGATCAAAAGAAAAAAAGGCGCTATTGTTAATATTGGGTCGGGTGTTGCGGTTGTTATACCTTCTGATCCTCTTTATACACTTTATGCCGCTACTAAAGCGTAAGATCTTCTCCAACTTTAGCTACATTTTTTAAATAAAGATGGTAGAGTATCTAGTATTTTAGTCGTACGAAAGTGAAAACTCATATTACATGTGACATCTAAGTCTAACTTTCTTGCACATGGAACATTAATTTTGATTTATGTCACCATGTTGGTAGGCAGACCAGTTATAGGGGAAGGGGCAGACGGGTGTTGTGACACAAGATATGCACTTGCATAACCTAATTTTCACCTATTATCCTAATTTACAATAAATATATAAACAAATAAATAAAATAAATAGATAATAGTAGATAAAAAAAAACTATTTTTATATATTAAATATTAATATTACCTACAGTTACATCATTAATCCAATACATGCATGTGCATTGATCCAAGTATTATCACTAAACTAAACATTGAATAAAGAAAATTTTAGATGGTTGAATAATATCTTTAAATAGAGGAAAAATATTTTTTCAATATGTTTTTCCTTTAAAGACGCTAGAAAGCCAAACATGATTTTTAAAGGTTATGTTTGGCATATTATAGTATTTTCTTTCTTAAGATTTTTTAGTTTTTATATTTGACAAACCAAAAAAGTAGTTTATAAGTGTAAACAAACAAGTGAAAAACATATAATAGCTAGAGTTTCGTATTACTATCAAAGAGAAGTACAAATACAATGAAAGTGAAAGACATGATATATAGACTAACTAATTAGGGTTTCCTCGCTAGAAGGCCCAATCATAAAACTCAATACAAGATAAAGCCCAAAATCTTATTAGGGTAGCATCCCTCCTCAAACTCACAATGCAACAACAATAAGCATTGAAAGTGTGTCAGACAGAAAATGGAATCGAGGAGCAGTCAACGGCTTCGTAAGAATATCAGCAATCAGCAAAGAGGAAGGGACATAAGGAAGGGAGATAGTGCCCTTCTGGAGATGATGTCGTGTGAAATGACAATAAATCTCAGTGTGCTTTGTGCGCTCATGAAACACCAAATTTTTGGCAATCATTATCGCACTCTCGTTGTCACAATACAAAGGGGTAGGCTGAGAGATGTGAACGCCCATACCAGCAAGAAGCCATCTCAACCAAAGAATCTCACAAGTGGTGATAGTCATGGCTCGATACTCTGATTATGTAGAAAATCGAGAGACTACATCTTGTTTCTTGCTTTTCCATGATATCAATGAATCTCCAAGAAAAACATAATACCCAGTAGTAGACTCACGATCATAAATATCATTATCCCAATTTTGCATCACTATAGGCATGCAGCTCAAGAGAGGATGTAGATGGAAACAAAAGAGTGCGGAACTGAGTACCACGTAGATATCTCAAAATACGAAGAACAACTCCCTAATGAACAATACTAGGAGCAGTGACAAACTGGCTAACCTCATGAACTGCATGAGCAATATCCAGTCTAGTGACAATCAGGTAAACCAAACTCCCTACAATTGTACGATAAAGGCTTGGGTCTGATAATGGGACACCATCAATTGGAGAGTGCTTTGCATTACTCTCTATAGGCGTATCAACTGTCTGATTATCCGTGAGTCGTGCACGTTCAAACAAATTTGAAATATACTTCGTTTGAGATAAAAGATAACCCTTTGGAGACTGAGCAACTTCAATCCCCAAGAAATAACGTAGTAAACCCAAGTGTTTCATAGCAAAACGGTGAGCCAAATCACGCTTTAAAGACTCAATACCATCATGATCATCACCAGTAATAATCATGTCATCCATATATAAGGAAAGAATAATCCGACATGCATTCGTACATCGAAGAAACAAAGTCGAGTCATGGTTACTTAGTTGAAAAACAAGCGAAGTAATCACCGTATAAAATTTCTCAAACCAAGCACGAGGGGCTTGTTTGAGGCCAGATAGTGCATTACGAAGTCAAAAAACTTCACCTGGTTAGTGAGCAATACCAGGGGAAGGAGACATGTATACTTCCTCATGAAGATCACCATTCAAGAACGCATTCTTGACATCCATCTGATAAATCTTCCATTTTTGAATGGAAGAAACTGCAATCAAGGTACGAACAGTCGTCATTTTTGCAACAAGAGCAAACATCTCCTCATAATCCCTACCATACTTTTGCGCGTACCCTTTCGCAACAAGTCTGGATTTATAACGCTCAATGGATCCATCAAACTTTGTTTTGATTTTATATACCCAACGATAACTAATCGTGTGCTATCCGTGTGGAAGCAGAACCATATCCCATGTATGAGTCTGATAAAGAGCTGCAAGTTCCTCAACCATAGCGATCTACCAAAAGTGATCAGAAACGACCTCTTTAGAGGATGTTGGCTCAGAGAGATGATGTACATAAGCGACCAAGGAGGCAAACACTGGTGAGTAAGAGGAATAGAAAAATTCAGGAAGCTTGTGGACTTCTTATTACGATAAGGCCTTAATGGAGGAGATCTTTATGATCTGCAGGCAGAGGATCAGCGACAGGTGGTGGATCAGCAGCAGGTAGTGGATCAGTGACATGTGGTGAATCATCAATATTAATGCTAAACGGTTCAATAGTACAAAGCTCTTCTCGGATTGCATCATGTGATTAAACAGGAATGCTACAGAATGGAATATGCTCCAAAAAAGTGACATTGCGAGAGACATATAGTTTTTGAGTTGATGGATCATAGCACCGATAACCTTTCTGACCAATACCATATCCTAGAACAACACAAAGAGCTGATTTTGAAGACAACTTATCTCTTTCTACATGAGGCTTCAAAAAAAAACATGTACGCTCAAACACTCGTAATGAAAAATAATCTGGAAGTTGTCCAAAAAACATTTCATAAGGAGACTTCCCTGAAGTGTACGCAGTAGGAATGCGATTAATAACATAAGTGGATGTATGAACAGCTTCTCCCCAAAACATATTGGGAACTTGAGCAGAAAGTGGTAAGGATCTTGCAGTTTCTAGGAGATGTCGATGTTTTCTTTCTGCAACACCATTCTGTTGAGGAGTGTCTGTACAAGATGATTGATGTATTGTGCCATCAGATGCCAATAACTGTTTGAAATCATTGGAGATAAATTCTCCTCCCAAATTACACTGAAAACATTTTATGACAAAAGAGTGTTGAGTCTTCATAAGATCTCTTAACTGATTATATATGGTGAAAAAATCAAACATGCGCTTCATAAAATACACCCACGTATAACGAGTATAATCATCAATGAATGAAACATAATAGCTACCTCCCGATTTAGAGGTGATCGGAGATGGACCCCACACATCATAATGCATGATATCAAAGCGATCAATAGAACAAGTGACACTTTTATTAAACGGTAAAGCAGAAAATCTGAACGTAATGTCATCAAAAGTGGGAAGAGAATCAACAGTGGGAAGAGATGTGCGATGCAAGATTGATCCATGCAAGCCTTCAAAATCTGAACATGTCACACCCCAAAACCAAGAACGGCGGAAACGTTCTGGGGTGGAGGACGTCATGTTCAGTATCATAACAATGCATAATAGTAAAGACAAGCAACAACATCCATTGCATTAATATAATAATTGTAATACAAGCGTGTTCTGTATAGTTTGTAAGACACCAAAAGTATAATCAAAATAAAAGATGGGTCTTGTATGTACTCCATCTTCTCAAAAGCTCCATCTGTACCTGTTTACTGATGACCTGAGAATACAAGTTATTTTGAAAACGAGTATCAGCATAAAGCTGGTGAGTTCATAAGTATTTAGTGTCATTGCTTGTATAAAATGTTAATAACAATGTAGTGTAGTAATCGATTTCAAATGTTTTGTAAATAGTATACTCCCTAGAAAGCCCTATGTTTTCCAGTAAAAAGGTAGTCTTCTACTAAGACCCGTGTGTTTGTATAATTGTCCTTTTGTAAATATAGGGGTTTTCCCCAGTGAAAACTATTAGTATAAAATGTAGTTTTCTTAAACGAGTAGGTGACAAAGTCACAAAGTAATGAAATACAGACTCCAGGTGGTACTGAATGCACAGCACGCCTCGAAAAGTCTAAAGTAGTAATATGTAGACTCCAGGTGGTACTGAATGAACAATACGCCTCGAAAAGTCTAAAGTAGAAATATGTAGACTCTAGGTGGTACTGAATGAACAATACGCCTTGAAAAGTCCAAAATAGAAATATGTAGACTCCAGGCGGTGTTAAGTGAACACTACGCCTCGAAAAGTCTAGTTTTGCCTTAAATCCTTATTTAGTTAATTTAAGGTTTGAATGTGAACTCGTATGTAACCATGCTGATCGACGGCTGAATAATTGATGACCCTCCAGATCACACGTAGTATGGTGACATTTTGTCACCCCTGGGCCTGGTCGGCTCGGATTGTAGCTAGCAGTCAGGATGTGGGAGTGTCTGTCCCGTATAGATCTATACACATAATGCCCGCTCTCCCTCCAGGAGACTCTGGTTACACGGTGATAGCACAATGAGGTGTCGTATCGAGAAGTAGTATGCCAAATTCTGTTTTAGTATTTAATGTTTGTATAGTGTATAGTATGTTCTCTTGTATTGTGTATAGTATGTTCTCTTGTATAGTGTATAGTATGTTCTGTTACTCAATATAGTACTTTTGTAGTGGCTCATAAATGTATTGACTCTTGTATGGGTCGTTGTAATAGTAGTAGTGGGTAGTAATCCCTTAACTATACCTATAATAGTTAAATAGTAAGGTTGTTTGGATGCCTTTGTTACACACATGTACTGAACTGATATGAAAGCTTTTATATCCAACACACACACACACACACACACACATATATATATATATATATATATATATATATATATATATATATATATGATATATAACTAATAATTCAACGACATTCAGACAAATAACAGTATACCCTAAGTCCACAACCAAACAAGGAACAGGAAATAAGATGAGTTATCAGTCCTAAGTCCTTCAAGTCTTACTTATATAAGTATACTGGTGTGGATATGGATTTGAAAATATTACAAGTACAAAAGAG